GACCGATAGGGCCAGTAACTCCAGCCATTACTCGGCTCCTGGTTGAATGGCACTCTTCCCCTCACAACTGTTCCTTTTCGTAACGTCTCTTTTATCCGTTTATGTTTTGGTTAACGTCACTTACGGAGTCTGCCTTTGTCGTCTTGTCCGCTGTACATTCCTCCCCGTTTCGCTGAGAAAAAAAAAAAGCGGCATCCACCTTCGCACACCGGGAGCGTCGTTCTCCCTCCGGTGCCGTCTAACACCAGGTCAGCGCGAGGCATCAGCAGGGAAAAAAAAGTGTAAAACTCCAAAGCGGACTGCAGCGTCGGTCCAGACGTCCTCGTCGCCACTTTTGTTATATCTTCACTCCGGGTTACTAGTATAACAATGATACTCGGACCACGACGTAACTTGAGGCATTTATTATAACGGCATAACTTAACATGGAGCTAGCCTGAGCAACAGCCTAAAAGCATCTTTTCCCATAATGCATCTGGGCATGACCGCTACGGGTCCTGTTATAACCCAAAATACACAACACTAAGTGACTTATATATCTTGTTTAACCTGAGTAGCAAAAGACGGTGGTGGGTTTGAAAACGATTTGCCGGGAGTCCGGTGTTCTCACAGGCTCTAGTGAGCCTTGAAGCCCAGCTAGCTATCAAGTTGGTGGGTAACAGACGTCTCCGAAAACGTCAGAGCGCTTTTGAAAATATGTGATGTCTAGCAGATCATTACATGAAGGAACCTTTTAAATACAAGCGCGCTCATGCTCACAGGTGTACACACGAGGACTCACAGACACAAACTACACCCTTTTTGGCTCCTACTAAAAAGCACACTGTGTGCTGTCGATCTTACGTGCTGCACAATAATGTTTAATATTTAGTATTTACAGTTACATTCCCACAGATCATCGTGATGTTTTTTATTATGTTGCTCTTTTCTTCTTTCTTCTGCTTGTTTTCTCTTTTTTCTTTCTCAACAGATGATCCAGGTGATTGACATATGTATTTTTGGTCTGCTTATTTTGTTGTTGTTTTTTGTTTTTTGCTCTTTATCCCCATCCCTCTTCCCCGCTGTTTTTCTTTCCCTCTTTCTTTCTCCCCTTTCTTTTCCCCAGTCTGTCCCGTATTTAACAAGTAAAAATAAAATAAAATAAACAATAAAAGGTGAATCAAATAGACCATTACGGCAAGGCTGGGATGGTCCATTTGGTAAAGTAAATCCGTTGGGCATCTTTCCTCACCTTTAGACAATAATTCTGATGGCAAAAGAGCCAAACGGGACAGGTTAAAAAAAAAGAAAAAGAAAAGAAATATAGGATAGGATGTCTTTGTGTGATGTTTTTATTTGCAATTATTTGTGACATATATGTGATGTCTTAATAAACTGGGCAGATATTTGAGGTTTACACAGCTACATGCTCACCTGAAAATATCTGAAAACTTTTTTTGTGACCCACAATGAATAATAACAGTAATATTAAAGTAGCTCCCGCCATTGTTGAAAACTGAGCTGGGTCGCGTTATGAATTCTGGGATAGGTTGGGCCACGAAGGATACAACTGACCCATCCTTCAAATCTGGGGAAATGAAGGCCGCATTTGGAAGAGTCTTCGAATTTGGACAGTCTTCGTTGTGTCGCTGTAACGTAATCGGCCTACAAATGTGGGCTGAGGAGGATGCGGTTCCTGAATTTGCACACCGCTACGATACCGGACACTGCTTCTCCTTCTTTGGGGTTTAACAGCAGCTGGCATCCTTGTACATGCAGTGCTGCCATCTTCTGTTTCAGTCCGTTATTACACTCTTAAATCCTACTACTTATTCCTGCGTCTTTTGGGATCTTACAAAGCTTCAACTATTAAATTAGTCGTCGACGATTTTGATAGTCGATGTAATCTTGACAACTCGACTAATCGTTGCAGCCCTAGTGAGTGGGTACTTTGTCCCTTTAGGAGCAATCTGAGAAGAAATAATTAGCTCTGAGTGATTTTTAATATGCTTGTCATGCTATAAATATATAGCAGTCCAATGATGGTGTGGAGATCAACCGATCATCTTCTTCCATTTAAAATGTAAAACAGGCATACTTAAGCAGGCATACCAACAAACTTAGTATTAAAGAAAATGTTAATATATACATAAAGTTGTTCTGCGCAACCACCTTTCCCGGTGATGAAACATTTCTGTCCTGATGGGAGTGGTGTCTTCCATGCCAGCATCTATGAATGATGAATAGTTTGATGAAAATGAAATAATGTGATTAATTTGCTGAAGTCTTGATAAAGTCAGATCTTGACCAGACTGAAGAGTAATGGCGAATTATGGAGAGAGGTATGACAATGCTCCCCACCCCCATTATGAAAATACCAAATGAGGTCAAAGTATTCTTAGGGAAAAATATTCAACCCCTACTTACTCCCTTATATCTCTCAATGTCAGAATGTTTCTGATAGAAAAAACACTAAGTAAAAGTGACTGAGTGATGGAATAGAAAAGTTCTGCATAAACACCACTCGATTTACCATTTTCTTACTTTTTCTGATGTTGGCTTTCTCCTTTAATTTGTTACTCATCTGTATAACACAAGTGACTGCAATGTGCAGTGGAAAGTCAATACTGTGTTTCCAAACATGGATATCTTTATTGCTATTGTTTTTTTGTTTTGTTTTTTCATTAAAAAATAGACAAATTTTCAATTCTGTTATTTCTGAATGTAAAACCGTTTTCAGAAAGAAAAATCCCAGAATACCTAGTGTTTAAACACTTTTCTTTCCCCAGTTGACTGTGTAGTCAACAGTATTACAGTTCGTTCTTTCTTTCTTTCTTTCTTTCTTTCCTCAATGCAAGGTGGCATGACACTCTTTAGTGTAACATCACTACAGCAAAGTCATACATAACAAGCTGTGGCAGCAGTGGCATTTTCACACTTTTCACAGTGCAATAGTGGGGAAAAATGGAACAAGGAGGTCCATGCTACTCATTTGCAGAGTTTTTCTATTGACCTCCAAAGTAAATTTAGCGTTGGAGTCTTTGTGAGGTAAGTGGCTGTGCCCCTTGTTGATGCATATACGTAAGTGACTTCGCAATAGTCTAATGGCATATAGCTGTTTTCGATGTCACAATCTGTGGATTAATGAGGTCAAAAATTAAGTATATATTATCTGTGACCTCAAAGACAATATGGAATTCACATGCCATTGGGAGAAATAAGTATTTGAGCCCCTACAACCCGAATTCTGAGTCCTGCAGATTGACCTTGTGCCCATGTGGCAAACAGATTACGATCAATCAATCAATCAATCAATCAATCAATCAATCAATCAATCAATCAATCAATCAA